TTCTCTAAATTCTTATCCGTGCACTCAGTCTTTTAAGTGCCAAGCAAAACTGCTGGAGACTGGGAAACGGTGCCATGATCATTGAGATCAGACAAAGACTTATTTTATCTGCATACAAGACTTTATTCTTTTAAATAATTTTATTCTTAGATAGAAAACTTTTCAAAGTATTTTCTTCTTTTTTTTTCTTAAACTATTGGGGCTTTCCTGAAGACTTGGCCAACTGTGCTGTCTTGTAATGCCTGAGTGATGGATGTGTGAGTTCTTTCATCCTGCATTCTTATCTAGCTCTTTGCTGCTGGGTCTGAATACAAGTTTTCTTTCCATTTGATATAAAACCAGTTGGTTACTGATGTTAAATATTTTGAGAATTTGGGGGTTTTGTTTTTTTTCTTCTAGAATATTTTTATCTGAGGAATTATGAATGCACATAACTTAGTATGCTTCACCAAGTGTATGTACAAAGACAAACTGTTTGGGGAGAACAGTTCTGTAGCTTTCTAACAATTTTAAAGCTCCTGAAACTTCTGTTCTTAAGTTTTGCATGTAATAAAAATGTGAGTCTCATTAACAAGGATCCCCACAGCCCTGTTCTTGTAACACTAGTAACTGCTCAACAGGCTGAGAAGCCCAGAAGAATCCCTCTCACCAGCTGGCTACTCCAAACATAAAAATACCCCTCTCATCTCTGTAGGACTCGCGTTTCTGTACTGTTCTTACAAATTTTTCTCTGTCGAGCAACAAGCTGTGTCTTCCACTTGCTATAGAAAAAAAAAATAATAAAATCTAATCCCCAATCCCTTGTATCAGACATTCTTGGCAGAACTCAATATGCTCTACTTACCGGAGTCGCTTGGTGTTTCTCCCTAATTTCCTAGGGTTTGAACGCGAGGGATTCCTGCACTCGTTAAATGCAGCGGCCACTTCTGCCGCCCTATAAAAGCTGGGAGGGGAGGGGAAAGAGAGCAGGCTTCGGGGACCTGAGCAATGCCATTGCTATCACCGAGCTGAAAATAACCTCTGACAAAAGCCTGGCATTTTGTCCCCTTATGTCCACTTGTGAGTAGGTGGACAACAATGCAGCCCCTCAGATTA